CCCACATGCTTTACTTCCCTACCTCCTTCTCTGAGAACTTCTCTGTTCAATTTTCTAAAACTGCAAACCAGTTTGAAATCCCCCAACCCCCTCCCTTTCCTGACTAGAGTTAAGTTCTCCAAAAAAGGGTTTTTGTCTGTTTTGTTAATTACTGTATCCCAGATCCAAATTAGGGCCTAGCACCTGACAGATACTCAGTAACTATTTGTTGAATAAATGAATGAATCCCCAAAGAGTCAGGAAATACTGCACCAATGCTATCTTAAAACTCTTTCTTGGGCTTCCCTGGTGGTGCAGTGGTTGAGAGTCCGCCTGCCAATGCAGGGGACACGGGTTCGTGCCCCGGTCCGGGAAGATCCCACATGCCACGGAGCGGCTAGGCCCGTGAGCCATGGCCGCTGAACCTGCGTATCTGGAGCCTGTGCTCCACAACGGGAGAGGCCACAACAGTGAGAGGCCCGCATACGGCAAAAAAACAAAAAAAAACTCTTTCTTGAGAAAGTTTCTATTCTATGTACCTGATGGTATCACTGGGACTTGCTTGCTTAGTCTGGTTCCAAGACTGGTTCCCAGTTTTGATACATACATGGTTTAACAGCAAGGGAAGGATGTATTAACTTGAAAACCTTGCAGTTAATGACTATATTAAAATAAAATAATATTTTATTATTATTGGTGTGGATTGTTGAACCCACACCAATCTTTAATGAGGACTAGAGGAAAGAATACCGAATTGCCACTAACTAGGTTACAATTTACCTCTGCAGGCATTAGTTTCTTTATCTGAAAAAGTGCTGGAAATTCTGATAATAATTATTTTATTTCTGCTCTGAAAAGTAGTTCTGCTGGAAAAGAAAAAAGCACTTTCCTTTGGTCTTTCATGGTAAAGTTACTGGGAACACATTGAAAGGGATAGGAAAAACATTCCAAAATCAGAAAGAATCAAGATAAACAAAATTTAATTTGTGGACAAAACTGCAAATGCAAACTTGAAAATTCCCCATGGAAGTGGTATTTGATTTCAGGTAATCAGAGAATACCTGAAGGTAGCAGAGAAGAGTAGAAGGAGCACTGAACTGTAATCAGGGGCCAAGGTTTCACCAGTAAACTCACTGTGGAACTGCAGGGAAGCCCCCTAATTAGTCTGCATCTCAGAGACCCCACCTGTATAATGAGGGGCTTGGCCAGACCAGGGGTTCCCAAGTGCTGTCTGAGTGGTGCAAGAAGCATGGAGTCCTCCAGCCCACCATCAAAGAGTCTGATTCAGTGGTCATGGTGGGGCTGAGGGCAGTTTATGCTTTAAATAACCAACTCACCCCGTATTGATGCGGGTGATTCACAAACCAGCAGTGATTATTAGTCTGGATGATCCTTGGTGGTATCTCATTCAGATATATATATTTTATGACTTTAGGCAGTCTAGCACCTGCATTTCATGTGGTAAAGAACTCACTTCTCTAGTACCTCCAGAAGATGGTTACTTAGTCTGTTTGAACAGTTCCAGGAGTGGAGACTTACTAGCTCCCATTCTACTCTGGGTCAGTTCAAATTGTTAAGTTCAACTTACACCAAAATCTGACTCAAAGAATATCATCCAGGTTTTGTTTGCTGAAGAAACCAGGAATCAGTCTGATTCTACTTTTATACAAAAGTCTTTAAAATGTTAGACAGAAACAACATTTTTCCCTTAGTCTTCTCTGGCTAAATACATGACTTTCTTTAACTCTTCCTCACCCAACAGGGCTTCTTGATCATACTGTTTCAAATACAATGGGAAAGTATTACTGAATTCATTTTCTTTTGGCACTTTGCTGTTTTAACATGTCGTTGGCTAGCAAATAAAAGAGATCCAAATAAGTTAGAAAATATGTACAATTTCTAAGTGTTACCATAAAACTTGATTAAGTCCTTCAAAGGAATAGTTTTTACTCCACTTTTAATTTCAAAACACAGAAGTATTTTCTACTTTATCATTCAAAAAAATATTATGGAGTATAACAGGCATTTTCAAAGTACATTCATAGTTTTAATACAATACAAATATGCTTTGATTAAAAAATGCTAATAATGTTAATATGATGACATTTGCATGAAGCTAGTGTTAATAGCTTCTTTTAACACCTGAGAAAACTGAGGTTCACAAAGGCTATTTCTTAACCAAGAGAGGAAACTAACATTTATTGAGTTTCCACTGTATTTCCAAGAACAGCTTTAAGCACATTTACATGTTTTCTCCCTTTCGACAACTTTTTAGCGTTATATCTATTTTACAGAGGATAAGAACACAGGCAAAAGTAGTTACATAATATCAATGAAATTACCCAGTTATTAAGAGGGAAAGCCAGAATTTGTACTAAGCTTTTTCTTCTAAGTCAAAGTGCTTCTCATTACATCTGGATACCTCTGAATATCAATTTCAACATCAGAGAATGTTAATGTTATTGGTGTCTTTACCTAGTCTACTATTTGCAAGTGAAAAACTATATATTAACACTCAAATGACATAAACAAAATAAAAAAGTGACCAATCCTCTTCCCCCAAATTAACAATCTGAAAGCATCAACCTGGGGCTGCCAAAAAAAAGCAGAATCAAGGGCAACTGAAAATTCAAACAGTACAAAATTTGGTTTTTTTTTTTTAGTTTTGTTTTTAATTGGCACTTCTTTTTAGAGTAGCATTCTGTTTCAATTTCCCTTTTCCTAAAATGGTGTATCATTTGTTCTCATTCAATTTGTAAATTGAGTACAGAGTACTTTGTCAGAATAGATGGAGCTGGACCAAAACAATGCTGTTATCACCATCTTAGGAGCAATAGCAGAACAGTAGGGGGACAAGCTCTCCCATTTTGCTTGTTATGCCACAGAAAAGTCATCATTAAATGCCCCCATAACACATCTGTAGAAATCATGCCAGTTTAATTGTCCCTCAAGTATACCACATAGGTCAACTCATGACTCCCCCACTTTACTATGAAATTCTCTCTCTCTACAAGTTAAGCATTAAAGCATTGTAAGCCTTTAGGCAAATGATTCATTTCTAGTTAGTTTGGCACCAGCCCTGAAAATTAAGGGCAGTGTACCACAATGAGGTCTTGGGTGTGTCAAGGCAGAAATGGTACTCAAAGGATTAAGGTCTTGATCTACCCGTCTAGCTGACCTTCTGTTGCTAGTAAACTTCTTTGCTACAGAATATTTATGTGAAAAAAAATATATAGTACTATACCTGCAGGGATAATTCTATATTATTCCTATTAACTGAGAACAAATTATCTACTTCTCCTATGAAAAGTGATCAAATGGGACTTTTTATAGGACAAAAGCTAGCCTAATATAGTTTATTGAATATCATTAATTCTAAAAAAACAAGTTTTTAAAATTACAATAAACATTTCTGAATTAGGGATGCATCTAATAATCTATGGTATCTCAGATTTGATGACATACAGTATGTGGTAACACGAGGACATTTCATTAAGAAAAGCATGAGTGAGCTAATAAACAAGCCAACATTGTACAAAGGACTCCCTAAAACACCCTCACTGCAAAACAGAGCACAAATGCCCCCTACAATATATCAGTATTTGAGATAGTTCTCTTAAAACTGGTAAAAAAAAAAACCTAAATGGCTAGCAAAGAATATTCTGGGCCTCTGAAACATTGAAAAAAAATAGGTCCATACCACATACAAAATAAATCTCAGTCTAGACTACCTTCTGATAAGAAATAAAGCTTTGCATAACATTTTGGAAGCTGTCTACAATGATGATAAAACTATTACTAATAGTGTAATTTTCCATCATGTTGGTACTTTCCTATAAAAATGATAAGAAATCAGCTTCTGCATACTCTCAAGTGCTGTGCTGCTCACACTACATGTGCGTGTAAGCATGACAATCCACACCCATATTCCTGTTTCCTTGGCTTAATCAGAGATGATGCAAGTCTTTAAAGCATTTTTTTTTAGGCTTTGTAAGTGTCTGAGTTCTATTTTCACCTCTAATTGGCGGGATACATCTCTTTTTAAAAGGATGTGACAGGGGCTTCCCTGGTGGCTCAGTGGTTGAGAGTCTGCCTGCGGATGCAGGGGACGCGGGTTCGTGCCCCGGTCTGGGACGATCCCACGTGCCGCGGAGCGGCTGGGCCCGTGAAGCCATGGCCGCTGAGCCTGTGCTCCGCAACAGGACAGGCCACAACGGTGAGAGGCCCGCGTACCGCAAAAAAAAAAAAAGGATATGACAAATAATTTAGAATTCTGAGGGCATGTGTAGGAAAAAAATTAAAATAAAATTAAAAAATCATGAACCTAAGATAAAAGAACTCAGATGAAGGGAGGGAATGATCCTTAAGAAAAGGTAAGTTTAATTAACAAATGACTGTGAAAACTAAACACAAAATCTTTGTAATTGTAGTGGTTCATAACATTATTATAACAGTGAAGTATAACTTTTATGCCTCGAAGCCATAGATTCTCAACCTCAGCAATTGATATTTTGGGTTGGATAACTTTGTGTTGGGGGAGGCTGTCCCTTACACTGGCTCCACCCATCAGATGCCAGCAGTGTCCTACCCCTGACCCAGGCAGTTGTAAGAACTAAAAATGTTTCAACCAAGGGAAAATTTGCCCCCTGTCGAGAAGTGCTGCTCTAACCTTTCAGTTATCAGCCGAAAAAAGAAGTTATCCTAGTTTCTCTGAAATCACCTGAAGGGTAGAAAACAATTTTAAAAAACCATTTTAAATAAACATGGCTTCAAATGAGTTTTCCAGCTCCAGAAGAAAAAAACTGGGACATTTACTTAGTTATTGCCCAGGTATTTAAAATATTGGGATTTATATAAATGGACGCCATAAAAATATGAAATATCAAATAAAATCTATGAAGTATCTTCTTTTTCAACCATTATTCCCCTATGCATTCATAAAATACCATCAATAAAGTAGCCAGAGGTAAGGAAATATATTCATTTTACATTAGTACAGTGGCTAGTATCAGAGATATCTTCACTTTACATACTTTATATTATTTACTATTTACAAGGAATAATTAACCAAGTGTTTAATTGATGCCAACTACTTTGCTAAATACTTGACTTCTATGTGTTATCTCACTGGAAGAAGAGATAAATCAATTTAATATCACTATCATGAGTTATAAAATTCATAAGATTCAAGGTTTGGTTGTAGCCGAACTTCCCGGTAAAATTCCCAAAACTTTAAATGCTAGTAAAATATAGTAATCAGAATTTTGAGCACAATAAGCCACACACAAGCATGTGCCACACTGATGGAAAAAAGCTGCATCAACTCTTGGAGGCTACGAGGATAACAGTGATGGATAAGTTACCACTAGTGACTAATAAGCAGAGGTCTTACAGTGCTTAACTTCCAAACAGTGTAGTTTAGGAAACAAGTACATTCAGTAATACCAGAAACCCAAACATAAAGGAGAAAAAGAAAGGTCTTATTATCTAAAAAGCAATAAACAATGCAAATGCACACTTACACAAAACAAGCACTGGACCCTCTTGATTAATATACCTAAAAATTAAAGTGAGTTCCCTTATTTTTAATAGCATTTTTAAATTGAGATATACTTCACCAACATAAAATTCACCATTTAAGTGTACACTTCAATAGTTCCCAGCACACCCATCTTGCTGTGCAACCATCACCACTATCCAATTCCAGAAAACTTCCATCACCCCCAAAAGAAGCCCCATACCTATCGGCAGTTAGTCCCAACATGCCCTCCCAAAATCACCTCAATCACTAATCTCCTTTCTGTCTCTATGGATTTTCCTGTTCTGGATATTTCATATAATCATACATTATGTGGCCTTTTGTGTCTGGCTTCTTTTACTTAGCATAAGGTTTTCAAGGTTCATCCATGGTGTAGCATGTTCCTTTTCATGGCTGAATAATCCCTTATTTTTTGCAGCAAATAAGTGAAGCATTTCAAGTACTGTGTTTAGACATGTCACCTGAAACATTTTCAGCCACTCCTGGAGGCCTGTAGGTGGTTGGACAGATGTAATTCGGCGTCGTTGTTGCCCTTGGCCATTGGCTGCTCTCAGGTCTCCAAAAGTTGTCGGTGTTGCTGAACATGGTACGAGGCCAGCGGTACTACAAGAAAATACAAGAGTGGAGGCAAAGACAGATATTTATTAAGAATAATGGGCTCTAGTTTAATAAGAATGGGACGACACGGCATATTTCAAACATCAATCAAACTATTATTTTTATTTGCTTGTTCCCAAGGATGCACAAAACCTATTCTGCTGTTGTAGAGTAAGTTTCCTCCTTCCTATATAACCACCTGTTTTTACCCCAGCACAGCTAATTGCAACCAAATGACAGAATCTCTATGGCAAAACTGTAAGTTGTTGGTAACATACAAATAATGTTAAAATATTTGCTTAGAAGATTCAGGTTCCACTTGCCTATGTCTGGTCTTCAGCATCATAATTAAACAAAAGTTTAAATTTCTTTCATAAAAAGGGGTATGAGATTATTAATGTTTTAAAAAAATCATATGTAGAAGTAGTCTGTTAAATGTTTTAGACATTTCACTAGTCACATTATTCCTTAAGTTTGCCCCAGATGCCTTCTAAGTTATTTACAATATTTGTCTATTCCTCTCTAATTTCTATTGCTATGATTAAGCTTAGCCTAAATAATATTTAACAGGAATAAGCCTTGATTAGAAATGTGTTTACTCAAACAGGTAGGTAGGTAGAACTTATTTTTATTATATGCAAAATTAAATACTGTAAAATGAGATCATTTTGGCTAAATACTTTTAGCCAATAATTTAAATTTTGAGACAGTTAAAATAAAAACAAAACACCACAAACCTGAAATTCAATTAATTCTGCCACTAGTAAAATAAGAGATGATCTATCTCTAAAATTGTTCAACTCTCCTAAAAATGCCTAATAGCAGAAAAAGTAGTTAGAACTATGTCATTAGTATATTAAACTTTGCTTTCTAAATTCAATGCCTAATTAAATTAGTTAAACTCAAGGTAAGTACTGAACATCTCTATCTTAAAGACACGTGGAAAAAAAGGAGCAGAAAGATTCAGGTAACAAAACCGCGTTTGTAAAATAATCTTCATTTTATTGAGCTATGACAGTAAAGTGTTTTAAATCCAAAGAACATATAAATTATATCCTAACAGTTAACTATCAAGCTCTGAAAAATTACTAATGAAACAACCCCAATTCTTTTCTATCCAGCATATCTCATTATTTTGCTTAAAAATGCATCTCAGTCACCAGATTATACAGAAAAATCTTCATATCCACCACCTTTAAATCTTTTAGCATTATACATCTAAGATGGTCTCTAACATTCAACAACTAAATCTATTTTTCTTTTATCAAATTTCAAAGGTAAGCTCTATTTTCTTCTCTGAAATGAAATAGGATGTGATAACTTAAATTTTCTAACAAAAATGATGAAAAATCATAGTTTCATCTTATTATTAGAAAATCTTTCAACAAAATTAAAGAACATCAAAAATACACTGATCAAGTCTCCAAAAAGACACGGCAATCAATATGCTGTCTGGTTTGCTTTAGACTGTGTGTTAAAAGGCTAAAAATAAAACTTTCACCTTTGCAGGTACTTTCTCAATAAAAAAGTTGGCAACTAAAGAAAAATTTTACTAAAATGTGTTCTGTGGTAAAAATTCAGCAGTCATTTATAAACTGTCTTAAAAACAACTGAACCATTTAATACTTTTGCCCTGGCATTAGCCATATTAATTGAAGACCAAAATTATATGGTTAACTGAAATCTATACATTAAAAAAAACAGCACATTTTAAACATTAAACTCAACTTTCTCATCCAAGAAAGAGTTTATCAAGATTAGAAGAAAAAAAACAAAAATGAAGTGAATAGTTTCACTTGTCTATCACTCCACACCCTCTGGCGGAAGTGCCAAAACACAGTGAAATTGTCAAAAGGCAAAGCCTACATAAGAGGGAGGAAGAGAACAGTTAACATGGGAAAATCACACAAAAAGCATTTCCTGAGTAACCAAGAAATAGCTTTATTTTTCTCTTTTGTATCATTTTTGTATATAAAACTCCTCTAATTATTATGATTTCTAAGTTTCACCAAAAAGCATCTGAAAGAAATATTTTCCACAACTGAATGAAGTAAAAGTATAAATTGGCTCCCTGGAAAAAAGAGATGCAATCTGTAACAATGTTCAATCACATAAACTTATGTCTGAACAATGTTAATTTTATTGTATCTTAAAGAGTAAAAATAAATCTAAATCAAAATATTGAGGGGAAAAAAAAGAAATGTCACCATAATGAAGTTCTTATGGTTTCTATAACTTTCAATTAGTTATTTGAAGAAGTGACAATTATGCAAAAAAGACCCCCCATAAAACCCTTAAGATGCTTTTGTCATTTAAATTTTAAAGTACCACATTCCAAATGACATCCAAAGCCATTTTTAATTAGCTGGGTAATAGCTATTGTGCTTAAGTTAGCCTAATTAGTGTGAGAGTGGGAAAAGTTTTATACTGATGCAAAATCCAAAAATGATGGAATGGTGCAGGAAACGAGTACAGTTGTATTTAGTTGTTATGGAAACTATTCTACTGGTGTAGAAATGTATGTGTTAAAAACATAAGACTTACGAAGCAAATAAAGGGGGTTTCTAACATAGTAATCTCATGAAATAAGATTCAGTTAGTAATTGTGCGGTCTATTTCACTGCTAACAAATGTATCTTCAGTTATGCATATATAACTATCCACCCTAGAAGAGCTGTTGCTATAGTAACAAGATACATTTGCTCATATCCGTATTTTAGGATTTACTTTTTAGAATTCCTTAAAAATTATGATTTAAATATTTTGTAGATAAGAGAACTTCTGCTTGTGTCTTACTTCAATGTATTAGTAATATAAAGCCACAGTGGTAGTCATTCTTCTCCTTATTTAAAATGTATGTATCTCAACTTTCAGTGATCTCAAAATGTGTTAAACAGTCAACAGTATTAGTGACAGAATCATCAACTCTTTAAAGAAACATGAGAATCATGAGAGAATGAATTATTATACTTAATTTTACCTTGTATATTCTGAGACTTTGCATGGTTTCTTTCCCAAAGAAAAAGAGCGGACCTCAGAACCATGGTCCAACTTTCTTTTCATCTATAAGGTAAAACAAATGAGATATGTTTAAAAAAAATCACCTGTCCAACTATCAAATCTTAATGTTAGCATCCGTAATACTGAAAAAATTCTTAAATTTTCATATGCCCGCAATGTTAATTAGGCATAGTTAATTCATATAGAAAATAAATGTTTCATACTTTCTTCTATTAGTTCTACTTTGTTTTACTCTTTACAAGACTGGAAAGGTGAATTTTCCCTCCTAATATTTGTCCAGAAGAACAGTGTATGGTGATTTAAAAATTGATACCCATTGTATATATTCCTTGAGAGCACTATACCTTTCACATTTTCTAGTTTAAGAACCAACACAGAGGAACATGTCATGTTAACCCACACAGAAAAGAACCATATTTAATATACTGTTCTTAGTGATTTACATTTTCCTTTAAAAACATATTTTAAGAAAGATAACAAATTCAAAATTTCAAAATCAGAATGGAAGTAATTAGTCACTGAATTTAAAACACATTATTATAAAAGGGTAAGGAGAATAATGTAAATAAAATGCTCTTGAAAAGTAATTATGATAAGGCATAAAGCAATGAATATGGGCAATGAAGACAGTACAAAAAGTAAGTCCATAATAAGAGGGAAATCTGGAGATGGTATGATAACGGTAGGAAAAAAGCCATCAATTGATATTTTACACAGAATACATAGCTCTACTGACAGATACTCACTCAGGACAAAATACTCTAACTTGAAAACCAACAAGAAAAACAGATTTAAAAAGAATGAGTTATGCATCTTTGTAAGGTATACCCGACATCTGTAGTTTTAAAGTAGTTTATTATGCTATATAGGTATGTAATATTGTAAATATATTCAGAATTATATTTTGTCGTCATCAATATTGAAATATATATTTTTTATATTTTACTATTGGTTAACTGAGGTCATCTTACTATAGATATGCTATAAAACTATAAAATAAGATCTGAGAAGATTCAACTTTCTCTATTTCAGCAAACCCGCTAAGATTTGTGTCTGCTAATTAATTACTGTACCATTGAAAATGATGGGAGCGGGGGAATCCCAGAGTGATAGAAAGTTACCCTCATTTATGTAATAAGGTGAAAACCCTTGCTTTGCAGCAGCCTTATTTTCTTACCTATTCCTCACATGGGAACATCATAACACAGCATGCCACACTGTAAATACCAGAGAAGCAACAAGAGACTCTAAAAGCTTTTTGAACCACACTCTGGGTAATAAAGACTGTTTTTATCATCATGAAGAAAGTATTCTAAAACACAGGGATAATCTTACAACGTTAGAGGCAAGAGGTAAGAATACGACAAGCTCATCCACAATTTATACCTTAGTTCATGAAATACCGACTTATTGGTCTTATTTCAACGCTTCAGAAGTTTCTGTGCTCATAACATTGTTTTAAAGTGATTCCTCTCAAAACCCATTATTTTCTTTCTCCAAATAATTTTAATAAAAAGCAAAAATAAATACTTTAATACATAGGTAGCCACATGCTTGCATATATATAAATTATAGACAAACATGTACACATACACACAAATGTATCCATCAGGAAGGTCAGTCAGTACAGATTACCTTAAAAATCTATTTTTTATAACTTCCACAAACACTCATTTTCAAAGTTGTTATGATAAACTTTGATATTCACTGTAATTAAGTTTGTAATACTGGCTTTCAGAACTTCCCTGGGTATCTTGTAAATATATTGGTGTAAATGCCATTTGCCACTAAAGCAAACTTTATTTCCATCTTAGAAATCCCTTCAATGAATAAAAATGCCTGAAATTCATATCAAGGGAACTGCTGTGAAAGGATTTTTAAATTTAAAATATTTTATGAAATAAAGCACTTTCTGTATGACTATGTCTTTTAAATATTATATTGTTTACTGAAAATACTGACTTTAGAACCAAAAATCAATTCTGCAATTTTGAAAGGGTACAGAAAGTAAATATAACCTCTTTAAATATAAATCCCCAATATTCTAGCAATTCTAGCCTTTAAGAGAGGCAACTAAAGAAAAAAGAAAAACCTATATATAAGCTATAGAAAAATTAAAGGCAAAAGGTTCACTAAAAGCTAACTAAGGATAGAGTATTTCCAGGTCAGCATTTAACGGAGCCACATTTCTAAAGTCTGAATATATTTTTAGAGGAAAATTCTCAGATTAAAATGTACATTTTATTTTAAATGTAAAGCTTTTTCCAGTTTATGTTGTCTTTCCATTTTTTGCTTACATTCATGATATAAAACAGAATACCAGACATTCAGCCACCCACCAAAATTAGAGGATACTGCAGCCATCTCTGATGATACAGATTTTCCTTCCCTGGCAGGCACACACACACAATCACACAACACAGGAAGAAAACAGCTTACTTACTTTGTAAAAAATCATTTTTAGTGTGCCGTAGAAACCCATATTTTCTGGATTTTTCCCCTTCAGTGATTCTGTGCCCCCGTGTGTCCGGCTGCTTGGCAGTCTCTGACAATATAAACCTTTTTCAGGTAGGTATGTCACAGATTCTAATGTGGACATGCTCAGGCACGTCAGAAAAGGAAGATTAGGGAGCAGAACCGGCAACAAAACTCCACAGTAGAGGCAAATGCAGCTCAGTATCAAACCGCTTCTTGGGACACACATACATACATGCAGCTTGACTGAGGAGAACTCAAGGGAATAATGAGAGAGAACTGAGAAGATTATTGGAGGAGACTATGCCCTGTCAAAGCCTGGACTGAACAGATTCCTCCCTCAGCAGCAGAGGGATCAGATTACATCTTCCCTTGAACACAGAATGGTGCAGTCCAGGATTCAGCAATGCAGACTGCACATCAATTACATGGTGATCCGCTCCAGGGAACCCGTAAGCACACAGCGCACTGAACAGAGGAAGGAGGTGGGCAACGAAGGAGACCGCCCCCATACCACAGCCCCCTCTCTCCCCTTTCAAACTTTCAGGAGGTTATTTTTGTATTTTGTAAAACCTGCATTTTTGAAGAGTTTTAAATGGCAAGCATCGTTTCCGCAAATAAGTCCTTTCAGAAACATTTTGAAAATGGAATATATTTTCATATGGTCCTCCCAATGGAAGCAAAGCAGTCTATTTTCACTAACTGCTACCCTATTGCAGTCAGTCCTGGATCAGGTTTTTCAAGTAGCTTGGACGGTCCAAAATGGGCAATTCCAAAGGGAGGAATTAGATACTCTTTGGGGCGATTTACAAAAAGGTAAACCAGTTTGGAGCATACGGCATTTGCAGAAATTATGTAATAAGTTATACTTCAATCTGTATATTTCTTATATTAAGATTTAATGTAAATACTCCCTTTGCTTTCCCATTCCATTCATTTAAAACATAGTCTTCAAGAAAATTACCACACACTGCCAATCCTTACTAATCATGAGAATATCTTTTTATGGTTAACAAACTAAGTATATAAAGTCTGGCTGAAAGGTTCTGTTTCTCCCAAGAGAGCAAAAACTGTGCTCATTGGAGAGTCTTATAATTATTTGTTCATTTACTGTTGAGTAAACAGGAGGCACTGGATTTCTACCTCTAAACTTACTTTCACAATGTGTACTGCTTATCATTAAAAAGGTATTTTATAGAATAATAAAGGTACTAAAGTTTGCCTGAAGGCAACCTTTTTCTTAGAATGACTACTACAGCAAATCTAGATATTTCATCACTCAACTTGCTACAAAACCAGCTTCAGAGGCAATTATAAGATTCCTTGGACTAGAAAGGCCCATTATTAAGGGCCTAGTTAATTAACTCCTACCCTCCCCATTAACGTTCTTTATTACAAGCAAACTGTGTGCCTATAGTTACTTAAGTACTTAAAAAGTTTCTTCAGGAAAAAAGAAATACTATTTTGACTTACTACATTTTAATACTCTCTGCTATGGTAATAAATGACTTTTGTTAGAAAAATGATTCTAAGTACTGCATAAAGTAGTATAATTTTAAAAATAAATGTTTACCTTTTTAATTAAGACATTAAGTCAGTATAACGTCTTTTATTTTATTTTTTTTTAAAACATCTTTATTGGAGTATAATTGCTTTACAATGGTGTGTTAGTTTCTGCTTTATAACAAAGTGAATCAGCTATACATATACATATACCCCCATATCTCCTCCCTCTTGCGTCTCCCTCCTGCCTTTTACTTTAAAACATAAATAAGATAATCTAAACTTTTATGAAAATGTACATCTTGGGTCTTCTCCTGGAAGTTATAGTCTACATATTATCTTTAAAAAAAAATAAATAAATAAAGCAGAAAATAACACCATTGTAAAGCAATTATACCCCAATAAAGATGTTAAAAAAAATAAAATTAAATTTAAAAAATCCCCTTCCTGGCTCTTAAACTAATTCTTACCCTCAGAAACAATATGTACATGTACCCAGCAAAAGTTAGTTTTCTAAATAAACAATTAGCTTACTTCAAAGGAAAGTTCCTTTTAAAAAGAAATCTCTTACTCTTAGGAAAAAAAATCCCAAATGTTAGGAACAGACCCATAAACCCTTTTATTAGAACTTCAGAGCGCGCAGGATTTTAAAAAAAAAAGGATATACCCTCCCCCCATTCTGGGTTGCCTGAAGAAACTAATTGTAAAATGAACACCTGAAATTTCCTCTAAAGCTTGTTGGAGGACAAAGAGACTACCTACCAGTCACATACTGGTATATACCTTGACTTCAATTGAAATCATGTCCTACCTCTAGATGAACTAACCTTTTCAGATTAAGTCTACTCAGTTGAGGACACCGACCAACTTTAATAAACCAGGAATGCCTTAGGATAGTTGAAGAAGAAAATATCTTAACTTTGTACTTGTACATTCATGCTCTTCTGGTCACATGGCTCCTATGTATGGTTATGAAGTTACAGGAAAACCTGATTCCCACAAATGTATGTTTATATGTAGGTATGTGTATTCATATTTTATTTTTAAACAGGTAAAATATTTAT